TATTCTTGCAACTACTCTGATCATTTCCTGTAGAAGAAATTCTTTTTTTAAAATAATAATAATTATTATTATTTGGAGAGGTTTTTGCTATAGGGCGTGTGCACTCACTAGAAAGACAGAGAGAGACAGACAGAAAGTGAGAAATCAGCTCCCGGGGGGATGGCCACACCGCAATCCCTTCTACTCCATTCTTCTCTTGGGATCTTGGGCACGCATGCACACGTGCCCTGCGTGAGTTTAAGCCACTAGGACCAGGACTCAAACCAAGGTCAGCTACATGGGAGTCCAGCTACATAGCCATTACGCTAACTGCTGGTCCCTAAAATAATAATTATTTTTTAAAGGATTATTTTATTTAATTTTATGTATTTATTTAAATTTGACTAGAGAGGAACAGAGAGAGAGTGAGAGAGAAAGTGAGAAATCAAGCCGTCAGATAGGGGACTTGAACAGCCATGTGGGAGTCTAGCACCCTTGACCATCACACCACCTGCTGGCCCCTAAAAGAATCATTTAATTTAATTTTATTCATTATTGTTGTTGTTGTTTTAATTTGACCAGAGAGATAGAGACAGGGAGGGAAAGTGAGGAAGCACTTCTCCAGGTCAGGGACTCAGATCGTGGTCAGCCATGTGGGCTTAATCACTATGCCTTAATCACCATGCCCCAAAAGCAATTCATTATAAGAGAACTTAGGTAAGAACTATCAATGTATCAGTAGCTGCAAATTAGAATAATTAGAGCTAGGCAAATAAAACTTCCAAAAAATTAAATTTTAAGAAATCACAGGAATCTCTGAAACATGAGAGGCCTCCTTTAGTGTAGTCTTCAGTATAACTCCTTTGTAATCGTGAGTAAATTCATATAGGTCATTTTTGTTATAGAATGCCAAAAGGAGAACTCGCGGGTAATTTTCACAGCTTCTTGTGAAGTCGAAGATCAGAAGGACTGTTATCTTCTTTAAATTGGACATAGATGCACACGTGATGATTCACATGATGAGTGTCTTGGCTGTTACTCTTCCAACTGCCTTTTTTTAAAAAAAAAAAAAAAAGAGAGATTTTTTGCTATAATAGGGCATGTGTGCTTACCGGTGAGACAGACAAAAAGTGAGAAACCACACCCCAGGGGGGATGGCCATGCTGCAATCCCCTCACCTGCATTCTCCTCCTGGGACCCTGGGTATGTACACACACACATGCCTGGCATGAGTTCAAGCTGCTGGGTGTGGGACTCAAACCACAACCAACCCACATGTGAGTCCAGGGATGTAACCATTACACCAACTGCTGGTCCTACTCTTCCAACTACTTGTATGCCAGAAATTTTAATGGTTCCTTTTTTTTTTATTTTTTATTCTCAATTTGAAAGAATAAACATTTTTACAGTGAGAGATATCTTTCTAGCTTCCCTAAAAAGCAGACTGGACAGTTGATGAAATGAGCTAGCATACTTGTGTTGATCTGGACAACGCCATCACATCCACCATTACTGTGCAAGACCCATCAATCAAATCTTTTATACATTGTATTTTTTTGGATATAAAAAGTCATTGCCATACCCAAATTTACCTAGATACATTTTTCTGCTATGTTTTCTTCTAGGAGTTTGATAGTTTTATATTTTATACTCAGGCAAATGATTAATTTTGAATTGATTTTTGAGAAGGGGTGTAAGGAATATGATTTATTTCAATATGTTCTTGTCCTTTGATATTGAGTTGGTTAGTTTTGGTCTTTTGCCTCTTGATTTAAACTTTAAAATACTTTAAAAATTTTATTTTCGCCATGAGAGAAAAAGGAAGGGAGGGAGTCAAACACCCCTAACAGAGTGCCAAAACCACCATGCTCTACCTCTAATCCAACCCCAGACTGCCCCAGATCATGGGGCTTGCTCTAGTGTACCTGAGGAGGTCTGTGGACTTGAACCAGAACCTTCTGATGAGGTCAGCCTTGCAGGGTGTGAGTGCATTCTACTGCTGTGGTAGTCTGCCCCCCCTAAAGTTTTTTTTAAGAGAGATTTTTTGCTATCGGGCATGTGCACTTGCCAGAGATACCAAGAGAGACAGAAAGCGAGAAATCACCCCCCTGGGGGGTGCAATAGCCACATTGCAGTCCCTTCTCCAGTGTCCTCTTGGGATTTGGGACACGCACATACAAGTGCTCAGCAGGAGTTTTAAGCTGCTGGGTCCGAAGTGCAGTGATGTAACTATTACACCATCGCTGTCCCGTCCCTGTCCCCCCCCCCTCTTCCTCAAAGTTTTTAAAGTTTGTCTATTTATTCCATGAGAGAGGAGGTTGTGGAGAAAGATACACACATTCACACACAGGCATTACAAACAAGGCCCTCCTGATGTTACCTACCTGCATGTTCATCTGGCCCAGTCATAGTCATGCCCACGTATGCTCAGCTTGTATGGGGATATGAACCTGAACCTTTGCATGTGGGTCCAGATGTGCTATCACTGCACCATCTGGCCCTCTCCATAGACTTTGAAGACCATTTATTGACATCCCTCAAAATAGCTTGGCTGGAGTTTTTATTGGAATTTCATCGAATCTGTAGATCAAATTGGTAAGAACTGACATTCTTCACAGTCTTCATTTCTTCTTCCTTGTCATATTTTATCAGTTTTCTCCATATAGCTCTTACACATGTCCTTTTAGATTTATACCTAAATACTTCATTCCAGAGAAATAATTTTATGGGAAAATATTTTTAATTACAAATGGATTTTTTCATTGCTGGTATATAGGAAGGTGATAATGACATATATTAACCTTGTTATCTTAAAACTTTCCATATACTTATTAGTTCTAGGAGGGGTTTTTGGTAATTTCTTTCTGGTTTTCTACATAAATGATCATGTTTACCTAACAAGACAGCTTTTTTTTTAAATCTCTTATCAGTATACTGTTTATATCCTTTTCTTGTCTACTGAGTTAGCTAGGACTTCCACTACTGTTTTGAAAAGCAGTGGTGAGGGATAATAGTTACATCACTGGACTCTCACAGTTGGCCGCTGTTCAAGTCCTGGACCCAGCAGTTTAAAATTCACACCAGCCACTATAGGGCACGCATGTGTGTATTCCCAAAATCCCAGGAGGAGAACAGAGAAGAAGATTGCTGCATGCCCATTCCCCCTGGGGGGTGATTTCTCGCTTTCTAGCCCTCTCTTTCTAGCAAGCTCATGTGCCCTATAGGAAAAATTTCTCTGGAAAAAATAAAAATGAAAGAAAAGCAGTGGTGAGCAAGGGCAAACTTTCCTTTTTCTTGATTTTAGCAGGAAAAATTTCAGTTTCTTCTATTAAATACGTTAACTGTAAATTTGTAGATGTTCTTTAGCAAGTTCAGGTAATTCCTCCCTATTTATAGTTTTCTAAGGGTTTTTTATCATAAGTGGGTGTTAGAGATGTCAAATACTTTTCCGCATTATTGTTATAATTATGTAGCTGTTTTTCTTTAGACTGTTTATGTATTAATTATATTAATTGATTTTTGAATGTAGAGCCCTCTTGGTTGTGTTATATGGTTCTTTTCATACATTGTTGGATATGACTTGCTAATATTTTCTTGAGAATTTTTACATCTATGATCATGATAAATACTGGCCTTTTTTTAAAAATTATTTTATTATTAGTATTTATTTAAATTTATTTATTCATTCATTTATTTTAATTTGACCAGAGAGAGACAGAGAGAGAGAGAGAGAGAGAGAGAGGGAAAGGGAAAAAGGAAGCCGCCAGGTCTAGGACTCAAACCGTGTTCGGCCATGGGGGAGTGTCCAGCACCTTAACCACTATACCACCTGCCGGTCCCCTGGCCTTTTGATATAACATCTTAACATGGTTTTCTTTTGATGTAACATCTTAACATGGTTTTGTTATTAGGGTAATGCCAGCCTCATAGAATGAGTTAGGAAGTATTCTGTTTATCTTTTCTGGATGGTTTTGTAGATAGTTGATGTAATTTCTTAAGTGTTTGATAGAATTCACTTGTGAACATGTCTGGACCTGATGCTTCTGTTTGATTTAGTTTCTTTAATAGATATAAGCCTAATTGGTTGTCTTTTTGTTTTTTTTGTGCTTTGAATGTTGGAAACTGATAGTTTAATATTAGATGATTTTGTCTTCTATTACACTTCTGAAGATTTAAAAATTCTTTCAGAGTTAACCCTTGAACAGCATAGTTTTTTTTTTTTTAATAATTATTGAGAGGGCCAAAGAGAGAGGAAGCAAGCCACCAGGTCCGGGACTTGAACCATGGTCTGCCATGTGGGAGTCCAGCACTCTTAATCACCACACCACCTGCTGGCCCCCTTGAACAGCATAGGTTTGAACTATGCAGGTTCACTTATACATGATTTCTTTTTTGGAAAATATAGCTCAGAATATAGTTGTATTTTCTCTTTCTTATAGTTTTCCTAACATTTTTTTTTTCTCTTTTTTATTGTAAGAATACAGTATATAATGCAAACAATGTATAAAATATGTGGTAATCAACTGTTTATGTTATTGGTAAGGCTTCAAGGCATCAGTAGGCTATTTGTAATTAGATTGTGTGTGTGTGTGTGTGTGTGTGTGTGTGTGTGTGTACACATTTTTTTTAACTGCATAAGGGGGTTCATGCCCCTAAGCCTTTCGTTGTTCAAGATTAACTATACTCTAAATTATCTTAAGTTTTGTTGGTATGGGGACCAGCAGTTGGTGTAATGACTGTGTTGCTGGACTCCCATATAGTCACCCGCGGTTCGAGTCCCAGACCCGGTGGCTTAAACTCAAGCTAGATGCGTGCATGTGTGTGCCCAAGATCCTGAAAGGAGAATGGAGGAGAAGGAATTGTGGTGTGGCCATCCTCCCAGAGGGGCAATTTCTTGCTTTCTGTTTTCTCTGTCTTTCTGGTGACTGCACATGCCCTATAGCAAAAACCTCTCTTAAAAAAAAAAAAGTTAGTATGTATTTGTATGAAGTATTAATAAAAACACAATTGTTGTCTTACAGCCTAGTGTGTTAATTGTAACCTACAAGGAATCCGCAAAATCATCTTCTCAGTTCGGATCCTACAAGCAGGCTGAATGGAGACCAGACAGTACTATGATAGCTGTGTCAGTAAGTAGATTTTTCAACTTTAGTAATGTTTTCTTATGAAATTATTATGTTATTTTAAAACTTGATTCTCTTAGATGACTTCCTGCTAATCTTTCACACTTAGAAGCATTTATGCTTTTATCATAGAAATTGCTATACTGATTCTTTTATGCTGGTTACTCCTACTATATCTTTTTTTTTTTTTTTTTTTTTTTGAGAGATTTTCACTGTAGGGCGCGTGCGCTCGCCAGACAGACAGAGAGAGACAGAGAGACAGAAAGCGAGAAATCACCCCCCAGGGGGGATGGTCACGCCGCAATCCCTTCTCCTCCATTCTCCTCTCGGGATCTTGGGCACGCACGCACACGCGCTCGGCGTGAGTTTTAAGCCACTGGGTCCGGGACACGAACCGCGGTCGACTACGTGGGAGTCCAGCGACATAGCCATTACACTAACTGCTGGTTCCCGTCCTACTATATCTTTTGTGTTTACTTCTTTCTCCTGTCCCTAAACATATCACCTGTATTTTTTTTTTTTTTTTTGCCATAGGGCAGTTCAGTCATTGAAGGAAGAGACAAAGAGGGAATGTGAGGAATTACCTACCCCTCTACCCCCACCTCCCTTGGAGGGGGATCGGTGGCCATGCCACAGTCTGTTCTCCTCTTGGGATTTTGGGCATCCCCGCACACATGCCTGGCATGATTTTCAAGCTACCAGGCCTGAGACTTGAATTGTAGACAGCCATGCGGGAGTCCATCACCTTAACCACCATGCCACCTACTGGCCACAATCCATTTTTTTAACGCTTGCATCAATATTTGCGTAATATTCCTGAATTTATATTTTAAATACTATATTCCATCCCAGAAGATAAATAAAGCAAATAAAGTTTATTTGCTTTTATCATACTAAATATTCTCACAGCATTAATCTATTTCTGCTTTTCTCTTCTGTCCCATTGTGTATTCCTGGATCTGATTGATTTTATCTTTTCTTTTTTAAAATTTCATACTTGGGACCAGCAAGTGGTGTGGTAGTTGGGGCACTGGACTCCACATGGCCAAATGCAGTACCTGGCAGCTTTGTTTTCTTACTTTTTCTCTCTCTCTCTCTCTCTTTCTCTGGTGAGCACGCATGCCCTGTAGCAGATTCAAAAATAAATAAATAAATAAAATAATAATTAAATTCATTCTTGATTGACACATAATGTCCATATTTATGGGAAATACATATGATCTGATACTTATTTACATTGTATAAAAATCAGATCAAGGGTACTTAAATCAATCATCTCAAACCTCTATTACTGCTTTATGTTGGCAACATTCATTCAGATTCCTCTTTGGGCCAGCCAGTGGCGTGGTGATTAAGGTGGGTGGATCTCACATGGCTGACTGTGAGTCCTGGACCTAACAACTTGAGAGAGAGATACTGGGTGCAGGTGATTACATGCCCAAAATCCTGAAAGAAAAATGGAAGAGAAGGGATTGCAGCATGGCCATCTCTCCTATTGAGTGCTTTTTCACTGTCTGTCTGTCTCTCTCTCTCTCTTTGACTCTCATTCTTTCTCTCTTCCTCCCTCCCTCCTCTCTGACAAGCACATGTGCCCTATAGCCAATTTGAAAAAAAAAAAAAAATTTCTCTGCTAGCTATTTTGAAAAGTAACAAATTATTGTTAATTATAGTCACCCCACAGTGCTATTGAGTACTGGAACTTATTCCTCCTGTTGAACTGAAATTAGTTATCTGTTAACCAACCTTTATTTATCTTTACTTTCTCTACTTTTTGCAATCTCTGGTAACCACTCTTCGACTCTCTACTTCTCTGAGATCAACTGGTTAGCTTCACCATGCAAATGAGAACATGCTATATTTGACTTTCCGTGCCTGGCTTATTTAGTTTAACATAATATCCTCAGGACGCAGCAGGTTTTTTTTTTTTTTCCATAGGGCGCGCGCACTCACCAGACAGACAGAGACAGAGAGACAGAAAGTGAGAAATCACCCCCCGGGGGGATGGCCATGCCGCATTCCCTTCTCCATTCTCCTCTCGGGATCTTGGGCATGCACGCACACGCGCCCGGCCTGAGTTTTAAGCCACTGGATCTGGGATGCGAACCACGGTCGACTATGTGGGAGTTCAGCGACACAGCCGTTAGGCTAACTGCTGGTTCTGCAAGGCACAGCAATTTTGACACGAACGACAGAATTTCATTCTTATCACTGAATATTATTTCATTACGTATATATGCCAAATTTCTTTTTCTGTTCATCTGTTGATGGACATTTAGGTTGAGTTCAGATCTTGGCTACTGTAAGTAGTGTCATAAATTTGAATGCTGATATCTCTTTGACATCCTATCCTGATTCTCTTTCTTTTAGATATATACCAAGTAGAAAAATTGCTGGATCATATTGTAGTTTTATTTAAAATTTTTTTTTTTTGCAGAGGTTTTCGCTATAGGGTGCGTGCGCTCACCAGACAGAGACATAGAGACAGAAAGCGAGAAATCACCCCCCAGGGTGGATGGTCACGCCGCAATCCCTTCTCCATTCTCCTCTTGGGATTTTGGGCATGCACGCACACGCGCCTGGCATGAATTTTAAGCCACCGGATCCGGGACGCGAACTGCAGTCGACTACATGGGAGTCCAGCAACATAGCCATTATGCTAACTGCTGGTTCCCTATTTTTAATTTTTTGAGTAGCATTCATAAGTGTTTTCTATAAAGATTCTCCTTTTGTCTATATCCACACCAGCATTTGTTATATGCCAGTACCAAGTTGTTTGGTTACTGTAATGTATTTTGAGGTCAGACAGGGCAGTGCCTCTAGCTTTGTTCTTGTGCACAGATTGCTTTTGCTGTTTGGAGTCTTTTGTGGTTTCATTTGAATTCTAGTTTTTCTTTCTTTTGCCCAATTGCTTTGGCTACGATTTCCAATACTGTGTTGAATAAGAATGGTAAAAGTGAACATCCTTGTTTTGTTGCATATCTTAGAGGAAATACCACTGCACCACTTAACAAGAAAAGATTTTTGAAAATAGCTTTTACTGCTGGCTTGATAAAAGTTTCCCAGTTAATTCAATCTAAAACTACAAGACAAAACCATACTAATTTTGTAACTTGTATGTGGTGAAGTCATTCTAATGAAAACTAACATGTTTGAATCACAAAATGTCAGAATGCTTTTTAAAATTTATTTCCAATGCTATCAGGAGATATAACACAAGAAGTAAGCTCTCTATTATCACATAAAATTGTCAGTTGGTATATTTTCTGTGCCCAAGCCACAGTTTCTATAACTTATTTTGGATGTTGATGTAGGTGCAAAGGATACATAATACATAATCAGGTGGTCCCAAAAAAGGAGCTTCAATATACCCTTCAGTTAGAAATGGTTCATCTGCAGTGTTTAATAGCAAACATCTAGAGAAAAACTTAATAAAATTTTATAGTTGCCTTCCAAGTAACAAATATAGTCAAAATCATATGCCCATGCTTTGAAATTAGTATTAGGCAGTACTTGTGTGAAAAGACATTTCAGATATGAAACATGTTAAGATCTCTTTATAGGCCTACAGTGAAATTTTACAATTGACTGTGATTATAGGAAACTAAACCCCAATTAATCAAAAAATGTTATCACTGTAAAAAGAAATATGTCTCATTAGTAGACATGCATTACTAAAATAAATTATACTCTGTTATTATTACTGTTACATTTATATTTTTCTATCAAATTTGTGAAAATTTATTTTTATCTCTGTATTAATTATACCTTTTAATTTTTCTGTGTTTCTAATGCTTTTGTCATCTTGAGACCTTACTGTCCCTAGCAAGACTGATTACTTCAAGGGCAAATCAATGTCTAGAGATAGTAAGGGACTTACATACAAGTGCACTTTGATTTGTACACCATTCCATCCAAAGCACATACTTTTTTCTACCTCCTTTATGGACCTCTGACATTCTGAACTCCTTATTTGAGGGCTAGATACCAGGTTACTAGAGGCTTTAGATACCATAAAGCCTGCTGAAATTATTCAAACTCGGCAGTACTGAGCCTCTTTACCCCTTCTTAACTGTTCTTTCACATGGACCAATGAAGAATGTTACTCATATTTTCCCCTTACCTCCACTGCCTCCTGACCAAAATTGATGCTTCTTTTTCTGGTATTTGATATGGCATATTGTGACCTATCCTCTTTAGAACTGTATATAACTACTGTCTTTACAGAGGCAGTTGTCTTTAAAACTGTTGACCTCACCATAACTGCATAATAATAAAACCTACGTTTTAAAACACTCTATCTATGTAAATATCTATTGGGTCATTAGGAAAGTTATGACACATTTTTGCATAGAAAAAAAGGAAAAAAAGTGCATCATGACTTTTCCAACAACCTAATACATAATATCTGTGGTTGTTACTCTTGGTTCATAAGACCTAAAATATTTACTGTCTGTTCCTTTACTGAGTGTACCTAAAATATTTACTGTCTGGCTTAAATACTGAGTGGATGTTCTTGGTAATTAGTAAAAAAAAATATAGAATAAGAGCAAGTTCATGAAAGAAGGTAGGATTTTCTGAGTTTGGTTTCATGAAGTTTATATTACATTAGTTTTTAGAAATTGTGGTATGGTATAGTTGCCATTTTAACTGTTTTTAAGTGGACATTTTAATGTCTTTAGTTATGTTCAGTGTTGTATAACCATAACTACTATCTACTTTTTAAAAAAATCATCACTCTAGGGACCAGCAGATGGCATGATGTTTAAGGCGCTGGACACTCCCACATAGCCAACCATGGTTCAAGTCTCGGACCTGGTGGCTTACTTTCTCACTTTCTCCCTCTCTCTCTGTATGTCTCTTTCTGGTCAAATTAAAATAAAAATGAATAAATAAGTAACGTTAAATAAATAATTATTTAAAAGAAATCCTCTCTCTAAACAGAAAGTTTATTATAATTAAGTATAATTCTGTATTCCCAGTTCCCACAGTACTTGGTAACCTCTGAG